CCAATTCTCTATCGTTCTTATATTCATTGCATAGAAAATTTAATATTGATCCATTTGCGCAAAGACCCTCTCTCACTATTTCCTTATCGGTTAAGAATATCTTATTAGCATATCTCAGAGCCAATCCGTTATTCCTAATTGAGGTCAATACAATTTCCCTATCCGATTTAAATGTCTCACTTACTTGTTCCAAAGCAACTCCATGTTTTTCCACAACTTTTAACACTACATCCCTATCTTCAATCAAATTGTTAGGAATAGAGAATGAACTTCCAAAATCTGTCCTCCTATCAATGGCTTCCAAAGAGAGTATATTAATATCCAATATCTATCCCAAACCGCTTTTTTTGGATATGGCTTTTTAAAAAGGGCAATCTGGCTGAATTTTTACGGGCTTGGCTTTTTCGATAAATCTCGGATTGGATAATATTATTTGAAAATGTGTTGTGTTTGAGCAATTGTCAACAAGGAATGCAGGCAAATCACACTACGAATATTTATTAGATTATTATCAATACTAATTGCAATAAATCAACAATTTTTCGATATAAATTTGGAATATTTTATTTTTGAAATAATTCATTTTTTAGTGGAAATTTCTTGACTTATTTTTGGATTTAGATTTTGGCTTTTTGGTTCAATTTGGCTTTTTGCCGATTTTTTATTCACCTATATCCAAAAACTGGTTTGGGATGGATTTTGGATATTAATATACTCTCCTTCCAAAAATACCTCCTTAGAAATATAGTTGTTACACATTAAATCCAAAACTGATGGATTTTGCTGAACTGCCTCTCTCACAATATCTCTACACGAACGATGATTTGTAAATATTTCAAGAATTAATCCATTTTGTTTCACCATGAACATAATATCATCCGATGAAAACCCGTATTCATCTGTAAACTGTCTATATTCTTCATAATGCATTGCTAAAAACTTTAATCCAACATCTCTCCTTTCTCCATTCAATAAATCACTCAATATTGAACCTCTATTAAACCTTGAACAATTTTTCAAATTATAATTCGCAAAATCCAAAATTATTTCCTCATCCTTCAATAATTCCTCATCAATCATGTCTGTTATATGCAGAATTGGTTTATATGGTGTAATTAGA